GTGGCAGCTTTCCTTTACCCCTCTCTAGCCCAGATTGACAGAACATAGCTTAACAGAAATAGACGTGATTTTTGGATGGTGTCATATTTAAAAGACTCCTGCTGGTTGGCTTCAGAAGACAGAGGTCTCCTGGCATATGTCCTCCTTCAAAGATCTCGCCAAAATAGGGCCTTGATGTTGCATCTAATGTGCACATTGTACTGCTCTACTCTTATCTCCCTTAAAAAACCCCACGTAATCATGTGTCCAATTCCTCCCAGCTTCACTCAACGCTTTTTCCTCTAAATACCCAGATATTCTTCTTTCTTGTTGTTGTTAGAGTGGCAATTTTGTCTCCCAGTGGCATCATCGTGATGCTAAAAGCTGTAGGAACAGGAGACGTGGAGAGCTTCGAGTCAGCTTGAGTGGCAGTGATGGATAAAAACACATTATCCAGGTTCCACACTGAGAACTAAAGCATGGAAAGAGAAGGTGGTGCACGGGGTCCCCAGAAAAGTCCCCAACAGAGAGAAGAGTGAACCCTGAGTCTCCAAAAGCGTGTTCCAACATATAGCCTATAGCAAATTTCCTTTTCTCTGTGTGTATTTGCAATTCTTTTGGAGTTTCCTCTTCTGGAGAGGAAAGGGGTAAGAAATTAAAATTTAAAAAGCTGTGAACTGGTCCCTGACGTTACCTGTGTGGCACAGCGAGCGTTTCATACTGCATCTCTTTCCCAAATAAGAGGCTTTTTTTTTTTTTTCCCCAACAGAGTTGTAAAATTTCTCTGTGAGCCTTTCCCCTTTCCCTTGTAAAGCGAACGTGTGTCGTGCGAGGTAAAGCCTGAGCAGGTTGGAGGTTTATTTCTCAGGTTCGGGTTGCACCGGAGTCGAGGCAGAGCCTGTAACCTTAGATTGATTTTTTTCTCCTTGCGCTATTAAGCCATTTAAATCTGTTAGCAGTCACTCTGCTCAAGCAGGGAGCGGGCAGGATGCGCTATTGTAGGCCTTGATTGGTTACAGAGGTTTGTTTATGGGCAACGCGGCAGGTTTTGTTTAATATTCCAGAGGTCGAGTAATTTACGTCCATCGATTTACAAGGCACAATCTGTCAAGAGGCACCAGCGTCGCGTTGAATTGCAAAATGATTGAAATCATTGGTGACAACGAGTGTGTTAAGTTTATGGTTTTTCTCTGGTTTGCTGGAACGAAACGTTCCTTCTCCTTGGAGTGAGAAATCTTGGCTGTGCTTACAGCAAGCTAGAAGAAATACCTTAGATTGATATAACCAAACAAAACCATAACCAAACAAAACCCAGCAGCACAGGAAAGTGACTTAAGACAAAGGAAATTCATCTGGTTAGGCTGCAAGATGATAAGGGCCAATGGAACAAGGTGTTGGCCACTGCTTACCCAACCGTTGGGTATTGCGTTGGCCAGGAGGGCTCATGTTCAGGCTGGTGTAAATGTGTTATGAAGATGGAGAAGGGGAAGAAAAAGTGGATGGCTGCTGACCTGCTGTTTTGCTTTTCCAGAATTTCTGTTGGAGATACCTCCTCCCTCTTTCAGCAGAGAACTCAAAGTGTGTTCTGGTGGGTTGAATGTCCATGCCATGCAGGGTCACCCTTCACCCAAAGCACTGGCCAAACAAAGCCGGCTCCAAATTACCTTTTTTTTTTCAAGGCCCTTAATAATTTAGGCTCTGATTATTTTTTGCTGCTACAGCTCCTTCTGTGGGTTCACGTGGCCAAGGTTGATGGAGTAAAAGTGTCTTGAGTGAGACTTAAAGAAATGGGGTTTTCTCGTTGGGTGTGAAATGGTCTTTTCTGGGTTTCCAAAGATTGAGAAAGGAAAACTGATGGGCCCTGAAATGCTTCCTGTGATCTCAAAAAGCAAAAGTACACTTCAGTGTCCTCGTCATGCATGGGAGAAATTGGTTTGCATCCCCCCAGCCAGCACCAGACCCTCCTCCCCACCGTGAGGGCTCTGAACACCCAGAAGGACTTCAGTGCTCTCGCTTTTAAATAAGGAGCAGATTGTCCCCGTCTCCCTCCTCCTCTTATCTCCACTGACAAATATAATTACAGCTTCACTTAAATGGCTGTAAATGAATTCTGGAGAGTAGAAAAAATTGTGCCTGTATCTCTCCCCTGCAGAAATTAGCTGACTCTTGCGTTTCGGATGATGGGTCCATCCATCTCCACCGCTGGAGCGAGCTGGCACGATCGAACCCGAAGCTGCAGCCCCAGTGCTGCTAAAGAGAGCTGATTCCTGCATCCAGGAGAGAGACTGGTAGAAACTTCTCAAAATGTAGGATTTTGGACTAAAAGTAGATGGGGTTTGTTTCCCCCATAATAAAGATGAGGTTTTCTGCTTTCTCCTGTGGCCAAATGAGCACCCCTAGACCTGATCCTGCAGGATCCAAAAGTCCTGCCACCCTCCAGGGAAACAAATGTCACTTGGGGGTCTCGTAGCTGGACAAACAGCTCTTCCAAAGCCCTTCCCAGAGTCATCTCTGAACACCCTTATCTGGAAATTAAGAGGCTGTGTCAATAAGCCCATCAGACCCGCACTGATAATTTCATTTTCTCTGTGGGAGAGACCTCAGTGAGCAGAGAGGGGCTTGGAGGAGTGTTGGGAGGGGGCATCCTTGTTATTCCCATTCACCTGCTCTCATTTCCCTCTTTATTTCTCTTTCATACTCCAGGCCAGTTAATTATTTTCAGCAGTATTTGCCAGGCTACGAATTTCTCTACCGTGTTCCTTGGTTAAAAAAAAAACAAAACAAAACAACTTCATAAATATTGCTCTGATGGCAGGATTTGCTGAAGGAGGCTACTTTCGGGAGCCGTGTTTTACATGGCTTCACCCATGCAGGCTTTTCTCTGTTGTAATTCACCGTACATTTATAAGCACAATTAAGCACTTCACTTTTCCTTTTGTTCTCTCACGCTCCTTTAATTGTACAGGAGCTTTAATTGCTCCAGCCTGTCTTGTATGTTTACCTCTGTTTCCATTTGTTTTATACAAAATATATCAGGGATTTTTATCTCGTTGTTTGGGGTTTTTTTTTATACTAGATCTGAAGGTATGTTTAATTTTAGGACCTAATGCAAAGCTCTGCATAGGTTCCTCCTTCAAAGCAGGTCTTTGGCTGTACAAACAGCAGCAAGTGACATTTACTTAATCAATCTCCATCAAAATGAAAGTTTATTGTCAACAGTTCCTTGGTGATGTACAAATCCTTTCTGTGCAGAGTTGCGTTGGTGTCTGGCAAAGTGTTTTATCGTGTAACCGATGTTAGTGCAAGAAAACGAAGAGGAGGAGGTTGGGAAGGGTTGTTGACACGCTGGAGGGCTTTGCTGCCATCCAGAGAGACCTGGACAGGCTGGAGAGCTGGGCAGAGAGGAACCTGATGAAATTCAACAAGGACAAGTGTAGGGTGCTGCACCTGGGGAGGAATAACCCCCTGCACCAGGACAGGTTGGGGGCTGACCTGCTGGAGAGCAGCTCTGAGGAAAAAGACCTAGGAGTCCCGGTGCACAATAAGATGACCATGAGCCAACAGTGTGCCCTTGTGGCCAAGAAGGCCAATGGCATCCTGGGGGGCATCAGGAAGAGTGTGACCAGCGGGTGGAGGGAGATCATCCTCCCCTTCTGTTCTGCCCTGGTGAGGCCCCATCTGGAGTACTCTGTCCAGTTCTAGGCTCCCCAGTTCCAGAAGGACGGGGAACTGGTGGAGAGAGTACAGCAGAGGCTACAAAGATGATGAGGGGCCTGGAGCATCTCTCTGCTGAGGAAAGGCTGAGGAACTTGGGTCTGTTTAGTGTGGAGAAGAGCAGAGTGAGGGGGGATCAATTGTATGAAGAAGGATGCCAGGATGGAGAACTCCATCAGGCAGAGAATAATGCTGGTATATGAAGAACCAAATATAAAACATCAACGAATAAGCTTAGGCCAGAAATGAGATCCGAAATTTGAACTTCACTGCTAGACAAGTGAAGTTTTGAAGGAGCCAGCAAGGGTAGAAATCTGAACATCTTCAATATGGCACACAAGGCTATGGGACAGAGGGCTTGTGGGGAGTGGACGTGATGATCCAGGAGGTCCCTTGCAGTCCCCATTATTTAATTCAAGTGGAAGGGGGCTGAGTGGGCCTGCCTGATTTCAAACATTGCTAATCACCCTACACAGGAAGTCGTTTCTAAAGTGATGCTCGAACAAGGACTTGAACTCAGATATTTGGGATGCTCTTCCTCTAATTAGGGGGAAATATATGATAATGGTGTGTTACTCTTGTTAGGGAAGCTACTTCTGTAGCTCGAGTGGCAGCGATTTGTGTTGCAGGGGGGAGATGGTTTAGGGTTCAGGCACTGTGATAAAACACCAGGGATGAAGCTGCATTGACACTTCTCCAAGAGATGGTGCTCTTGTGGTCGGGATAAACTCAAGGTGTTTTTTTAAAGAGGTCCCAGTGGGAGGGAAACAGTTGGTCCATGACCTACTCATGCCTGTTGCCTGCTTTTTAATGGCTTTACTGCCTAAGGGCTGTGTTTTATTAAGAAGAACGAAGAAAGCCTCCCAGATACCTCTGAAGGGATGGGGGCAGGCAAAGACTCACCTGAGATTACATGGGGAAGTCTATGGTGACCAAAAAGGACCATTAGGACCATCCTGCCAGTGCCACACTTTGGCTCCTGAGCAGCTCTTTTCTTGCTCCAAGCAGAGCGAGATAAATGTTCCTGGATTTTGCAGCTGCAGAAATACTCATCACAGAGCCAATATCTTCCCAAGCAAATGTATTCTGGTGGTTGATTAAACCCCTCAGATTCACTTTGGACTTTAATCAATTGCAGAAGCAGTTTGTTGCTTCGTGCGCTCCCAAATTATAGAGGTTATTGCTCAGCAAAAAGTGGGAGAGAACACACACGTGTTGAGGACGGAAGCAGACGAGATGCTGTGGTTGCTAAAGCTGAGTGGTATTGATGAAGGATGTCACAAATTTATCCCGTCTTCTCTTTCTAGCCATGTCTCCTGGCCAGGACAGCCATGCCAGTCTGGAACACCTCCCAGCATCTGAGCAGATCCTGCAAACCCTGAGCGAGCTGGCCAGGTCCTTCCAGGAGATGGCTGACCGCTGCCTGCTGGTTCTGCATTTGGAAGTCAGGTAAAAGCCCTAAATTCGTGGATTGTGGGTGAGATTGGGAGGTGGTTGGTTAAGAAGGTGTCCAGAGTACACATTATGGCACCTGAAACAGATGGATTTGCCTGCTGTAGCCTCAAAGGTCAGTCCAGAAACACCAGATCCCATCACCATGGATCGCCAAATGTGGGATGGAGGCAGGATACTCAAAGCGGAATTTTTTAGGGAGATCTGTGTCTTATTCTCCCCCTCTGCTCCACTCTCATGAGACCCCACCTGGAGCACTGTGTCCAGCTTTGGAGTCCTCAGCACAGGAAGAACATGGACCTATTGGAAGGGGACAGTCCTCAGCACAGGAAGAACATGGACCTGTTAGAAGGGGATGAGAGGAGGACACAGAGATGATCCGAGGGCTGGAGGCCCTCTCCTAATAAGACAGGCTGAGAGAGTTGGGGGGGCTCAGCCTGGAGAAGAGAAGGCTCCAGGGAGACCTTAGAGCCCCTTCCAGTCCCTCAAGGGGCTCCAGGAGAGATGGGGAGGGACTCTGGATCAGGGACTGTAGCAATAGGACGAGGGGTAATGGTTTTAAACTGAAGAGAGGAGATTTAAATTAGATACTAGAAAGAAATTGTTTGTTGTGAGGGTGGTGAGACCCTGGCCCAGGTTGCCCAGGGAAGCTGTGGCTGCCCCATCCCTGGAGGGGTTCAAGGCCAGGTTGGATGGGGCTTTGAGTGACCTGGTCTGGTGGGAGGTGTCCCTGCCCATGGCAGGGGGGTTGGAACTCGATGATCTTTAAGGTCCCTTCCAACTCAAATCGTTCTATAATTCTATGATTATGTGTCAGAGACTAGCAGAAATGAGGTTTCGGGGGGTTTGTCCTTAGTATATTGCACAATGATGTTTTAATAGTCTAACAGGTGTCTGCACATTTATTAGCCACTGTGCTTTGGAGCTTTTCGTACTACTTTTTCAAATAGGAACAGAAACTGGGCAACCAGCTGGATTTTTTTAAAGGGATGGATAATTTTATGATGTCTCTGGCTTCACATGCAAAGATCAAAGGCAGCAAATCCCTTTCTTCAGCCTGCCAGCTCTCCACTCTGGGGCTGGGAAGACGTTTTTCCCTTATGCATTGTATTGGCCAGGTGTATTTTCATTGCTTTCCCTTTTCTCTGAAGCATCAAACAGAAGCAGGTGTCAGAGACGGGCAGTGAGGCTTGATGGACCATCAGTTTGTTCTGCCGTGACACATCCTAAGCCATATTGTGTCCTTGTGTACGTTGACGGAGCTCTGGTGAAATCAGTAGGCAGCTTTAAAAAAAAAAATACACATTAGTTATTGTCAGCAGCCCTTCAACCTGCTATCCATCATCTGCTGGCCACAGATGAGCTGGGGTTCGAAGGAATGGGGGAAAAGATTGGAAAAGTATGGAAATGGAGCAGCCTTCCAGGTGTGATGTAACGCGAGGTGATGCCCGAGGTAACCCAGACTCATGGTATGGAAACCAGCCTGAATGGGATTCTGGCCTCAATCCTCTGTGGCTTTCCATCATGCTTGGGTTAAGCAGAAATAAGTGCAGGTGTAATTCAGGAAAAAATGTGTGCTATCAGTTTAGAGCAGACCATTGCCCACCTCCTTTAGCGCTTACAAGAGGAGCTCCATCCCGTTTAACACTGTGAATACACCAAAGCATATTATTCTGGGCAACATCATGCTTGGGTTAAGCAGAAATAAGTGCAGGTGTAATTTGGGAAAAAAATTGTGCTGTCGGTTTAGAGCAGACCATTGCCCACCTCCTTTAGCGCTTACAAGAGGAGCTCCATCCAGTTTAATGCTGTAAATACACCAAAGTATATAATTCTGGGCAATGGGTGGAAAGGGATGAGAAAAAGCCATGCTAACAACCAGGAAAATCCCCAGCGGGGTGGGAGCTTCCCCATAGCCATTCTTCTGCGTTTGTGACCACCTGCAGTAACGGAGGAAAATCCCTGTCCCTCTGCTGGCTGTTACCAGCAGGTTTCCCTGAGGTTCCTCCACCAGCTCCCTGCATCCCTGCCATTCCCAAGGTGCAACGTGTATTCATCCACAGAAACCCCGAGCTTTAAACTGGCACTTAGAGCCAGTAAAAAGCCTGTGAATGAGGTTCAACAAGGCCAAGTGCCGGGCCCTGCTCTTGGGTCACACCAACCCCATGAACGCTACAGGTTTGGGGAAGAGTGGCTGGAGCTGCCCAGCAGAAAAGGACCTGGGGGTGTTGGTCAACTGTTGGCTGAACATGAGCCAGCAGTGTGCCCAGGTGGCCAAGAAAGCCAACAGCATCCTGGCCTGTATCAGGAACAGTGTGGCGAGTAGGGCCTGAGAGGGGATTGTCCCCCTGTACTCGGCACTGGTGAGGCCCCACCTCGAGTGCTGTGTCCAGTTTTGGGCCCCCTACCATAAAAAAGACATTGAGGTGCTGGAGCGGGTCCAGAGAAGGGCGACAAAGCTGGTGAGGGGTCTGGAGCACAAGTCTTGTGAGGAGAGGCTGAGGGAGCTGGGGTTATTCAGCCTGGAGAAGAGGAGGCTGAGGGGAGACCTTATTGCTCTCGACAACTCCCTGAAAGGAGGGGGTAGAGAGGTGGGGGTTGGTCTCTTTTCTCAAGTCACAGGCGACAGGACGAGAGGAAATGGCCTCAAGTTGCCCCAGGGGAGGTTCAGGCTGGATATTAGGAAAAATTTTTTCACCGAAAGGGTTCTCAGCCATTGGAATGGGCTGCCCAGGGAGGCGGTTGAGGCCCCATCCCTGGAGGTGTTCAAAAGACGGGTTGATGTAGTGCTGGGAGGTATGGTTTAGTGATGGTGTTGCTTTTTGTTTGTTGTGCAGGTGTCTATTTTTGTGAAATCTTTGTTGACAGTTGGACAAGATGACCTTTAAGGTCCCTTCCAAACTAGAAGATTCTGTGTGATTCTGTGTAATTTATCCAGCCTCTCGCTGTTGCATTTTAAGGTGCATTTTAAGAAAACACCAACAAACAGCAAAGGGGATTTGAGGCGACGCAATTATCCCCTTGTGTTTCTCCTCCCTCAGGGCCCCCAGTTCAGTCACAGCTCTGCCAGATGCAGGTTGGGACGAGCCTGGTATTGACTTCTCCTCCTCCGGTACCTTGTGGGCATGGACCTGAGGACAGTGGTCACTGAGATCCTGATCCTTGGATTTATATCTGCTTCCTTCAAGGAAATCTGTTGGCACGTTCAGATTGTTAACCGTTTTTTTTGTGACAAATAACTGTGGAGTTTTAGATTATTTAGTGTCTGTTATTTTCCTATTATAAGCCCTAGATAGAATTATACAGCAGCGGACACTAAAGAGTGCAAACAGGCTGAGAGAGTTGGACTTGTTCAGCCTGGGGAAGAGAAGGCTCCAAGGAAACCTTAGAGCAGCCTTTGAGTCCCTGAAGAGGCTCCAGGAAAGCTGGGGGGGGACTCTTGATCAGGGAGGGGAGCCATAGGATGAGGGGGAAGGGTTTTAAATTGGAAGAGTGGAGATTTAGGTGAGCTATTAGGAAGGAAGTCTTTACTGTGAGGGTGGTGAGAGCCTGGCCCAGGTTGCCCAGAGAAGCTGTGGCTGCCCCATCCCTGGAGGGGTTCAAGGCCAGGTTGGATGGGGCTTTGTGCAACCTGGTCTAGTGGGAGGTGTCCCTGCCCAGGGCAGGGGGTTTGGAACTCAATGATCTTTAAGGTCCCTTCCAACCCAAACCATTCTGTGATTCTATGATTTTACTCTTGGAATTGCCCTAAATTTTGATGGGCACCTCAAGGATGTTATCCAGGAGAATGGGGGACGTGCAAGCCAGGACATAACCGTCAGAGCTTTGTCAACCCCAAAACACAGCTCCCCACTGGTGGGGCGAGACTGGTGTGAACCTGCTGTCTCAGTGATCCTGAATTATACTTCAAGTGCAAGGAATATTTAATCCAGGCTGTGATTTCCTGTGTTTCCCTGACAGATTAAATTCGTAAGAACCCAACCAACGTCCCATCCCCATTGAGTGATGTGGGTGAGACCCAAGGATTACAAACGTAGAAGTAGTTTTGCGGTTGACTTTGCTGGACACAGGACTTTCCTCTACATCTTTGAGACAAATTTAGTTACAGGTTTTTTGCAGTACCTTAATAGGTGATTTGAATGCACAGAATTTCTCCTTCGATGGAGAGGTGATGGTTGGGCGTGTTGCCTACAGCCCTACCTGGTGGCTGAGCAGAAAAGAAAATTGTTGCAATAGTGTTAAATGCTTGAGAATAGGCACAACCTTGGCCTCCAAGTTATCTTTACATGTCCCCTGTCTCATGCCTTCTGCCACTTATAGCTGTTATTAGATCTTTATGGTACGTAGAAGTTCTTCTTTGCGCATCGGTATTGAATTGGTGCCAAACCGACACGTGTGATGTTGGAGAACCTTGTGAAAAGACACTTGGGATTTTACTGGGGTAATGTAGGTCAGGTCTGTTAATGGAGGGTCCTTTGTATTCAGCTCTCAGGATGGGACAATGGCAAGAGGAGGATGCATCTAATGCCGACATAACTATCCCTTTCTTAAAATAGCTGTTATTTTTTACCAGCTTGGACACTGGAAGGAAAATAATGTGGTGGCACTTTGCATACCCACTAATATTTAAACATCAGTGTTGTAACTTTTCTATCCTGCAGAGTTCATTGCTTCCACTATCTGATCCCACTGGCGAAACAAGGGAACTACGCCATCGTCGCCAACGTGGAGAGCATGGACTATGACCCTCTCGTTGTCCGGCTCAACAAGGACATCAGTGCCATCGAGGAAGCCATGAGCGCCAGCCTCCAGCAGCACAAGTTCCAGTACATCTTTGAAGGTCAGACATTTACCATAAGGGTTTGGTTCTTCTGAAATAGCTTTTTCTGAAGCTCAACAGTATTCCCTTTGGGGGTAAGTCAGACTGTGGTACTGTTGCCATCTACAGCAGATTGGTAAGTATGATCCAGGCAAACCATGGCAACTGCATTCTGGGCTGCATCAAAAGAAGTGTGGCCAACTGATCAAGGGAGGTGATTCTACCCCTCTGCTCCACTCTGGTGAGACCCCACTCGGAGTATGGCGTCCAGCTCTGGAGTCCTCAGGACAAGAAGGACGTGGACCTGTTGGATGGGTCCAGCAGAGGGCCATGAAGATGATCAGAGGGCTGGAGCACATCTCCTATGAAGACAGGATGAGAGAGTTAGGGTTGTTCAGCTGGGAGAAGAGAAGGCTCCAGGGAGACCTTATAGCGGTCTTCCAGTCCCTAAAGGGGCTCCAAGAGAGATGGGAAGGGACTCTTGGTCAGGGAGTGGATCCTCATCATAGGATGAGGGGGAATGGTTTTAAACTGAAAGAGGGGAGATTGAGATGAGATATTAGGAAGAAATTCCTTGCTGTGAGGGTGGTGAGACCCTGGCCCAGGTCGCTCAGAGAAGCTGTGGCTGCCCCATCCCTGGAGAGGTTCAAGGCCAGGTTGGATGGGGCTTTGAGCAGCCTGGTCTGGTGGGAGGTGTCCCTGCCCATGGAAGGGGGTTGGAACTTTATGATCTTTAAGGTCCCTTCCAACCCAAACTATTTTATGAAACACAGGGCACTCAAAACCCCTTTTGTCTCCGTACCATTTCTGAGTGTATCTGGATAAATAGGAGGAGCAGGTCCGTGCTGAGCAGCAAAGCAGCAAGTTGATGTACATGCAGGACAATTCTTCCTCGGGAAGCCATAGGGCATGTGTATATATTATGAGCACAGCTCTATTACGGCGCAGTTCCTATCCGAAGTGTAGCCATTCCATTTCTAAAATTAAATTTAGAGAACATTAGCTCTTCTGATGTCTCATCTGTCGTGATTACCTTGGAGAATATAAATCATGTCTTGGTTCATCTCCCCTGCGTTTATTTGCGGCGCTGACGCACAGTTCATTCTCTTGCCTGCCTGCCAGGATGCATGTCCCCTTATGTGGTGGTTGTTCAAAGTCAGGAGAAAGTGGGGACTGGAGATGGACCCATCGCCCAATATAATACATCTGCAGAGATGAAGGCTCTGCAAGCCTGGTTGGCCTTATTCTGACCACTCCTTATTGGTCCTGGAGAAGGCTTTCAGTATCTGTGTGCCTTCCCCCCCATACCCATGGAGCTTTTTTTAATCAAATATTTTCTAAGCTGTGTGAATCGTGGCAAACTGAGTGATATATAAATCATGTCTTGGTTCATCTCCCCTGCGTTTATTTGCGGCGCTGACGCACAGTTCATTCTCTTGCCTGCCTGCCAGGATGCATGTCCCCTTATGTGGTGGTTGTTCAAAGTCAGGAGAAAGTGGGGACTGGAGATGGACCCATCGCCCAATATAATACGTCTGCAGAGATGAACGCTCTGCATGCCTGGTTGGCCTTATTCTGACCACTCCTTATTGGTCCTGGAGAAGGCTTTCAGTATCTGTGTGCCTTCCCCCCCATACCCATGGAGCCTTTTTTAATCAAATATTTTCTGAGCTGTGTGAATCGTGGCAAACTGAGTGAAGACCAGCACATTGTAGAGCTCCTCTTACAGCTGAGATCTACTGAGTCTGTTCGAGGAGACAGTGAAATGGCTCCAGACAGAGCCAGGGGGACTGTTTGCATCTCGCCAAGCCATGTGGTTGAAATTTATACACATAGTCTTCATGAAATATAGGCATCTCTTAAGCCCAGTTTTGGGATTTACACCTACCCTGTGCTGGTGGCCTATACTTGAAAGTATTTTCTTAATTCAGATTTTTAATCAATGTTTAGTCTTGTACAGCCCTGCGTGCCAAGCTAATGGGGCTGGGGGTTATTTTTTGCTATTTGCGATGCGACGTGACTGGATACATCATTTTGGGGGTGGCTGTGACTTTGAGCGGCTGGCTGCGTCCTTCAGCAGCAGAGGGAAGAGATGGAGACATCATTCAGACACAAGAAGCTGGTCAGGACTGATCAGGGAGAGGTTGAACATGGAGTGCATTGAAATGCAGATCATTCCTGCTCTCGCGGACTGTGATTTTGCCAGGGAAAAATACCACACTGGGTAACAAATTAAATTACTTATCATTTTGTAGGAGCAGTAGTGGTCCATTGCTCTGCCCAGACAGAGAGAGGGACTGAAAGGGACATTATGCAAAGCCTGATTATAAATCTGGAAGCACCCTGGAAATATCAGTGGCTATGATAATGCAAGTTTGAGTTTTCACAGTGTTTGGGGGCGTTTTTGTATTTTTACTAAAGAAGGCAGTGTGCAGTTGCAGCCCAGAAGGCCAATCGCATCCTGGGCTGCATCAAAAGAAGCGTTGCCAGCAGGTCCAGAGAGGTGATTCTGCCACTTTACTCTGCTCTGGTGAGACCTCACCTGGAGTATTGTGTGCAGGTCTGGAGCCCTCAATAGAAGAAGGACATGGACCTGATGGAGAGGGTCCAGAGGAGGGCCACAAGGATGATCAGGGGGATGGAGCACCTCTGCTACGAGGACAGGCTGAGGGAGCTGGGGTTGTTCAGCCTGGAGAAGAGGAGGCTCCGGGGAGACCTAATAGCAGCCTTCCAGTACCTGAAGGGAGCCTACAGGAAGGCTGGGGAGAACCTGTTTAGAAAGGCCTGCAGTGACAGGACGAGGGGAAATGGCTTCAAGCTGGAGGGGAACAGATTTAGACTGGAGAAGAGGAGAGGGTTCTTCACTGTGAGGGTGGTGGAGCACTGGAACAGGTTGCCCAGGGAGGTGGTTGAGGCCCCATCCCTGGAGATATTCAAGGAGAGGCTCGACGAGGCCCTGGGCAACCTGGTCTAGTTGGGGGTGTCCCTGCTGACTGCGGGGAGGTCGGACTAGATGACCTTTGGAGGTCCCTCCTGTCCTGGGCAATTCTATGATTCTATGATTCTATAAGGAATCTTTGAGGAAAGTCCTCCTAAAACCCACAGGGAAGATATTAAGGGCTGTTTCCATGGACAGCCCAGCGTGTCTTCTGTTCCAGTTCACATGTACCACTTAACAGTGCTCATTCATGGGTTTTATGATGAATTATTGTCACTAAATGTCTCCCTCCTGTGATTTGATTGCTTATTTTCCCCCCCTCCCCCTTGCAGGTTTGGGCCACCTGATTTCCTGCATTCTTATCAACGGCGCCCACTACTTCAAGCGCATCAGTGAATCTGGCATCAAGAAAATGTGTAGGAACATCTTCATCCTGCAGCAAAACCTGACAAACATCACCATGTCTCGTGAGGCTGACCTGGACTTTGCAAGGTGAGCAGAGCGCCCCGTGTTGTGTTTGTTGCTGTTTTGATGTCCACATGTCCAGAGGTAGCTCCTTCCAAAAGTTTCATCATGCGTGCGGGCAACTGGATGGACATCAAGTTAAACCCAGAGAAGTGTTAATTGTAATATTTTCCTTTCCCCCTTGTTGAACAGCGTGGATCACTTGAGCTCAGCACCAGGTCAAGGTGGAGGTCCCACCAAAGTGTCTGTGCTTGGGGTTTCCTGTCGGTGTAGTTCTCTTAAGACCAAAACCCAGGCAAGGAGAAGCTTCTAGGTATAGGTCTTGGAAGTTAAACCAGATGAATCTTGGCCTTGGATTTGTGCCCAGATAAGTAATACTTTGGTTTGTTGAAGGCTTAAACTTCTAGCACCTCAGGGGAACAGCGTGTGTGAACCTCAGGGACGGCAGATGCTGCCTCACTTCAAGTTCTTTTGCTCTTAAAATAGTAGTAATCGCAAAATAAAAATAAAACTGGGCAGGGTGGATCCTCTGCAAGTTTCTCATCCGTCTTGCTGCGTTGTTCACTAAAGGGGGGTCATTTGAGGAATAAGCAAACACTAAACAGTGCGTGCTTTGCACGTGGACCTAAGATGCTGACTACCAGTAGCTGTATTGGGTGATGCCCTGGGGCAGGACCTGGTTCGGCAACCAGGAGCTGAGCTCAAGAAACAGCCAAAAGAAGAGCCTGGAACTTGCAAATTAACTCATGTAGATCGAATGACAGAGTTTTGCGTGACACTGGGATACGACCCACCACAAGACACTGGAAATGGTGTCATCTTTTGGCCATTGCTCTTGGAGACAGAGTTAGGAGAGAAGCACGACTCCCGCAGATGAGGGAGAGTAGGTGTGACCGAGTGCCTCATTTTCTTGGGCTCTCATATGGGGAATGATCTCATTATTGAATTAGTTTCTTCCTAATAACATTGACATGGGAAAGTTATGAATGCTGAGGCCTGGAGGAGGGGGAGAGAGAAAGATCCATTACTAACTCTCCAAGGAATAGAGTTCCCAAATTCAATCTTTCCTTTTTTAAATGATTTTTTTTTTTTTCCCCTGATCTGCTGAAATGCTAAATAAATTAGCCCAGTTTTTTGGCAGGCAGAACAGAGCTTGAGCATGTGCTGACAGCAACTGGCACCCAAATAATGAAAGGCTGACCAAGCGCTGCAGGAGGCTGGCATGGTGGGGCTGGCCAATTTCTGGAGAGGTCTTTGTGGGAAGGGTTGTAGAGCTGGTGGAGCTCGGAGTCATGGTGCTGCACAATTTGATGGGGAGTTCCAAGGGAAGGGTGAGGAGGTAACGTGTTCCCCACTCCTGGTCTTGCTGGATGGTCGAGATGCCAGACCAGCTGTTTTCACAACATCAAACGTGATGGTCCAAGGGCTGGAGCCCCTCTGCTGTGAGGACAGGCTGAGAGAGTTGGAGGGGTTCAGCCTGGAGAAGAGAAGGCTCTGGGGAGGCCTTAGAGCCCCTTCCAGTCCCCAGAGGGGCTCCAGGAGAGATGGGGAGGGACTCTTGATCAGGGAATGGAGTGATAGGATGAGGGGAAATGGTTTTAAACTGAAAGAGAAGAGATTTAGATCAGATCTCAGGAAGAAATTCTTTGCTGTGAGGGTGGTGAGAGCCTGGCCCAGGTTGCCCAGAGAAGCTGTGGCTGCCCCATCCCTGGAGGGGTTCAAGGCCAGGCTGGATGGGGCTTTGAGGAACCTGGTCTGGTGGGAGTTGTCCCTGCCCATGGTAGGAGGGTTGGAACTTCATGATCTTTAAGGTCCCTTCCAACCCAAACCATTCTATGATTCGATGACACACATACCAGCCCTCTTCATTAATGAGTTACGTGACAAATAGATCTTCTCCTGCACCACTGGAATTGCTGGGTACCATTGTCAAGAGCTGTGTGGCTCAGGAGAGACACCTGAGCTTCCTGTACAGCAGCACCAGCTGCTCTTTGGAACCCGTGGTGCTGATCTCTTCCCATAATATAAATTCAACAACATTTCTTTTCACCTTTCATGACTGCATCGCTTCCCTCTTTCTTTTGGGGCAGATTTCTGTGATCTGGAGAGTATGTTTTATTCTTTTGTTCTTCAGATGACTCCGGAATTCTTATTATCTGGATTCTCCTTTTACATAAACAAGGCATCTCATGCATCCAAACCCTGCCCTGCTCACCTGAATTTACAATTACCCGAGCAAGTTCTTGTGCTACCCCAGGGACTCCAGTTACCGAGGCCTATTCCAAATATAAAATAAACATAACACTTCAGCCCTAGAAAGCATAAAATAACATCAATGTGGGATAAAAGTGATTTGTACTTCTGTGATACAGCTCATATAGGAATCTGTAAGTGCTTGGCGCCGTAGCTAACTATCAGTTTTGCCTTTTTAAAGATGAGAAACGGAGAGCAAGTGGTTATTTGATGCACGGGAGCAGTGGTGGAGCTGATGGAGAAATACTGACTCTTCTGCTCTGCCTTCACCCCCAGCACCTCCTGGTAACTGGGAGAAATTCCCTCCCTACTTCACTTCTCCAGGGAACTGGGTGATCTTTACTGAATGGGAGAGAACTGGGTCTAACCCAGCTTGGGACTCACCTGCCTCATCTCTGGTCTGTGTAGGCATTTACCCTCATGCAAAATAATTCAATGTTTACTCTGATTTCTTTAAGGAACTTGAAGTCATGGGCTCCTTCGATCAGGGAAAGACATAATAGGTTTTTTTAGTGTTGTTTTCACACACAGAAAAATAGATTTTCTCGGGATAGTATGGAGCTCTTTGCCCTCCAGGTGGGACCTGAGCCTCATCTGAAGCCAACTGGCTTCATGCTTCCCCTGGACAAGCAGTTCACTGCCCGTGTTTCTCCCTTGCCCTCTTGATATTTCTCTTTGGCCATGTTAGTGCGACACTCGGGGTTCAAGAAGCAATCAGCATCAATTAACGATCAACACATCGCTCTTCATACATTAAGTTTTAATTCCGGAACGGGTCCTATGTGGTCCTTTTCTGAAATAAAGTCTGGACAGGGAACCACTAGAAAGAGTCCAGCGTAGGGCTACAAAGATGATTCAAGGACTGGAGCATCTCCCTTATGAGGAGAGACTGAGAGAGCTGGGACTCTTTAGTCTGGAGAAGAGAAGGCTGAGGGGAGACCTTATCAACGCCTACAAGTATCTCAAGGGAGGGTTGAAGGAGGAGGGAACCAGACTCTTTTCAGTGGTTCCCAGTGAGAGGACGAGGGGCAACGGGCACAAGTTGGAACATCAAGGGTTCCACTCAAATATGAGGAGAAACTTCTTCACGGTGAGGGTGACAGAGCCCTGGAACAGGCTGCCCAGGGAGGGGGTGGAGTCCCCTTCTTTGGAGATTTTCAAACCCCGCCTGGATGCTCCTGAGTAACATGCTCTAGCTCTAGGCATTCCTGCGTCAGCAGGGGAGTTGGACTGGATGATCTCTATGGTCCCTTCCAACTCTAGAAATTCAGTGAAATTCAGTGAAATGCTCTCCGCTTTATAGGAAAGACCTGGCCATTTGAGAAAGGGCCAAAAACTTTCAAGATTTTCCTGGGTGTCATACTGTTGATTTTGAATTTTGTTTTGCTGGTTTTTTTCAACTTTTATATATTCTTCAAGGCTTTCTATGGCCCCCAAAGAGCACGGGGCATCCCCGTTCTTCTCTAAGTCGGTGCCTTAAGCAGTAGAAACCCCAACCGGGGAAGCCAGAGGGGGAAGATCTTTTTCCTCTGAAGCTAAAATCACGTAGAGGATTCACAGCAAAATCTCAACCCATGTGACACTCCCTGGTTCTAGTGACACTGTTGCTGTTTAAGCCACATTTTTCAAAAGATCTGTAACCTGGAGGTGACGACAGCAAGTTTTGCTGCTTCGGGAGTAGTACCATGGCAAGGGGAAAATTCGTTTCAAATGAGTTTTGCTTTGAGATTCGAGGTGGAGCCAGGTGGGGGGACTCTGCAGAGCATCAGGAAGCAGAGCTGGAGCATGTTTCCATTGAAAAAAAACATAAATTGCCAAGTTCTGTGAGCTCTAGCAAGGAATTTCTCCACCAAGAGAAAAAAGGGTAAAATAGACTGGTTCTGACTGCTGAGGTGTCGCAAAAAGATTTGTAGCATTTGCTAAATTTCCTGCAAGTATTAATAGGTTTTTTCCTTATATGTGTGTTCAGTATCTAGGCCAGCAGAAATGCAGTCAGTCGTTAGGGCATCCCCCACTGTATTAAAAAAAAAAAGCAGTTTTTTCTTCTCGTGTATAATACCTAGGCATATTCTGCAAAATCTGGGACTGAGCGTGGGTTCCAAGTACCTCCCACTTTCGGGAGTTTCAGACCCAGAATTAGATTTATGGCATTAGAGGGATAAAATCCGGCTTCAAATCTGGCTTCCAGTTCAGGTCTTTTCCCTTGTGCCTCCTTTCCTTACTCCCCTTCTACCCTCACCAAAAATGACACTCGCGTGTTTATGCGGAGATTTCATCAGAGGCAGTCAAAAAGAGCTAGGGTTCTGCTTCAGACTTATCCTTAAATAAAATATCATTCAACTTTTAGATGTTCATCTTTCATTGAAAAAAACCCAACTTTCTCAGATGTGCAGCAGTGATAAAATTGTCCTGTTCTTGAAAGTTAATTGAGGTGGTCACAAGGGGAAGAGACCAGTGATGAGATGTGAACGTTTCATACAACACAATGCCATTTTGACCTCTGAGATAAAGGTTTTTGAGGGGTGCTACTCATCGTTATGGGGTCTGAAAGTGTCCTTCATCCCTTAAATGGTTTGCAGTGTAGAAAACCAGAGGTGTCTCCACACCTAAGTGTTAGATGGGAGGTTTCCCTGCTGCTACCACCCAAGTTAGCGGTCGCAATGTCCATCCATCATGCGGGGACCAGGAATGTTTTCCTGCTGCTGAAGATGCTACCAGGGCCCTGGGCTCTGACCACGTCTTTCTAGTAGGTGTGGCACCTACATTGTCACTGC